AACTGGTTAAAAAGAATATAGCAAATAATGGAAAACTGTGCAACTATAAAGAAAAGAATGTGAAAGCTGTCTATGAATGAATATGGAGAAATTCCAAGACATATCATTAAGTTAAAAGAAAGGCAAGGTACAAATCAGTGGATATAGTATGTTACCATTTATATTAAATATGTCTGCATACAAATATTTGCTGGTATATGCATAAAAATCTCAGGAAGGATGCACAAAGCCTAAAACATGGACTACCTCTGGGGAGTCGAACCAAGTAGTTGGAAGACAGAAGTGGAGGGCTGGTTTTCACCAATACCCTATTGTACTTTTTGATTTTTAAACCTTATGATTGTATCACCTATTTTGAATTTCCTGCAGGCATTTGCATTTTTATACAATATATACAATGAGCGATAAGGCATTGTACCTTAACAAATTTAGGAGTTTTTATTTTAGGATTAAAAGCATTTTTAATAAAAGTTATCAAAGGCAGCCTGGGTCTTGAAACTGTTACTCTCAAGTTTTTATCATTTCCTCTGTAAAGTTGCACAGACATTTGTTTCTGGCCTTAAATTGTACATATCTTCAGCTTCCTCGAAATCAAGAGTAGCCTGTGCCATATCAATTAAAGTAAATGTGCTTTCAATTAAAGGTGTTAAGTATTAGTTTGGAAAGATTAATTCTTTATAAAAGGATGACCTTCAGTAGTTAGATCCAATTAGGCATTTTTCCAACTATATTTCATCTTGATGGGACAAGTCTACTGCTTACAATCAATCACTGTGATCTTTTCAAAGGCGAGTATTTTAGATTCAGACTCATAAAAGAATGACTTGACTAGGCAACCTCCATAACTTGAACCACAGTTGATGTAGATGGAGATTATGGGTGTTGTGGTATTAGTATTTAAAGCCTCAGGATGTGCATGATGATATTCTGGGTACAGTTCTTATACCTCTCTTCTCATGGCCAAAGTAAAACAAACTAGTTTAAACAAGACTAGTCAAAAGAAAGAGAGGAAAGGAACAGTGACACAAATTAGTGGTGAATCAAATTTCTTTTTATTTTTTTTTATTTGTCATTTCATTATTAAATATGTTATAAATGCTTGCTTTCCTAGCAGTCTTTTTTTAAAAAATTAAACTCCTTTAGTTCTAATTTAACATCTGCTCATGTACAGCACCAAGACTATTAATGGTGATTATTTTATGATAATATGCAAAATCTTGAGGAATATTGTTTTCTCTCAAAAATGAATGGAATTGAGCATTTTTATTTGTATTAGGTATTTCCAATATAGAGCCATTGGTCCTCACCCTGCCACTCATTAAACTTATAAACTTGGTAAAGCCATTGAACATAGTCATCTGAAAAATGGAAAGCAAGTAATACTTCTTTGCATATCTCAAAGGTCGATTGTTGGAATCAAATGAGACTTTATATATAAATAAAGTATATATACAGTCATGTGCCGCATAATGACGTTTTGGTCAATAACAGACAACATATATGACAATGGTCCTATAAGATTATAATGGAGCTGAAAAATTCCTATGTTATAGCCATCATAACATCGTAACACAATGCATTACTCACATAGGAGCAATAAGCTATTCCATATAGCCTAGATATGTAATGGGCTATACCATCTAGATTTGTGTAAGTACATACACTATGATGTTCACACAATGATGAAATTGCCTAATGTTGCATTTCTCGGAACGTGTCCCTGTCATTAAGCAGTGCATGACTCTGTGTGTGTGTGTGTGTATGTATTTGTATATATATATATATATATGTGTGTGTGTGTGTATCAGTGTTACATAAAATGTGGTCCAGTGACCCTAGAGGTCCTTGAGACACTTTCATGGTGCCCATGAGATCAAAACCATTTTTATAATAATATTAAGAACTTATTTTCCTTTTCCATTCTTTCACACGTGTAGTGGAATTTTTCAGCAGCTGGCTACATAACATGTGACATTGCAACAGATTGCAGAAGAAATTATAAGAATCCAGCTATCTTAAGCCAGCTGTTACAGAAGTTTACAAAAATGTAAAACAATGCACTCTTTACACTGATTTGTTTTTCTTTTGGAAAGGAAAGGAATTTTTCATAAAAAAATTTTTACACTAATGTGCAATGGGTTAATTATTGTCATTTTCAAATAATAAATATTTTTAAAATTTATGAGTTTTAGTTTCTAATATCGTAAATTTTGATCAATATATTCCACATAAATAAAAGCTCTTTGGAGGTGCTCAGTTCTCTTTAAGGATGTAAAAAATCCTAAAACCAAAAAGCGTGAGGACTGCTGATATATATGAAAGCACTAGGTAAATGTGTGGTGACATTGGTAGTTTATTAAGAAACTTTAGGCAGTTTAAACAGTGCAGCATGCATACGGTCCTTCCACTGCAGGCACTGATCATTAATGGCACACTGCACCTCCAGGGTAGGGTTGTCTAGTGTGGGGTCCAAGATGATCCTGGGCACTCTATAATTACCTGCAATTTCATGTGTAGGTCAAGTATCTACTTTTTTAGGGTGAGGGCCCCAATTCTCAGTTTTTAGATTCCCAGAAGGTCCTAAAAGAAGCACAGATACAGGATTTGCTGAAGTCCTCTTGTCTCATTCTAGCCCCGAGTAGTGGCAAAGTCAAAGTGGTGAAGTTCAAGGCTCTCATATCTGGGCTTGGGCTTGGGTGTTTCTTGAGCTCTTGGCCCTTTACTTTTCCCCGTATCTCTGTAGAAAGGCATTAGACTTAGGCCAAGTTTTCTAGGCCCTGAGGGGAAGGGCTTTCTCTCAGCAGGTACTGTGCCTTTTGCATCTTTCTGGGGCCTCCTGGCACTTAGTGTGATAGGATGTTGTAGGACATAAAGAGGCAAGACCAAAAAGGGCCCGGTGACCGGCATCATTATGGTTTGGGCAGTGTTCCTTGAGAACAGGAAATATTACCTAGAGCTTTAGAGTACTAAAGCTAGAGTACTGAATAGGGTCTGCTCAGACTTTGCTGGCACCAGCAGAAGGATGTTCAGGGATGGGGACTCAGGCCATCTCTGTCTCTGTATTAGACACTCTGGGTGGGTGAGCTAATAGTTGAGTTCTTATGGAAATTACTAGTTCATGTTTCCTACTGCAATTTCTTAAGGTGTTTTTATTAACTTTAATTGTAGTATCTGCTGAGAGTTACTTATAATTATGAGAATTTAAAACTATTCTAATTATAGCTTGCTTCCTCTTATTTCTCGAAATTAATATGAATGGAAACTTGTATCTTAGATATTTATTTGTTTCATATCTCCCTAGTGTCATTTAATTTTTGATTGGATATATATTTTTTATAGTTTTATGAAAGCATTTTGTATTTACTTAAATAAAGTTTTATTTATCAGTGGGCAATTGTGCAACATTCATAGGTCCCCTGTATTTAGATAAAAATTTTTTTTCCTTTTTGTCTTTTTTACTGACCGGTAATGGATCGCCACCCTCGGTGTCGCGCCCGTACCGGGGACCGGCAACGGGATCGCAACCCTCGGTGTTGTGCCCGCACCGTGCTCAGCCAGTGAGCGGGAACCAGTCTCCACATGGGATCCGAACCCTTGGTGGGAGCGCCGCCGTGCTCCCAAGCGGCGCACTCTCCAGTGCGCCACCGGGCCGGCCCTAGATAAAGATTTTTAATACAACTGGCTTAAAGATGCTCAAAGAACTAAAGGAAAGCATGGAGAAAAATCATGAAAACAATGTGTGAACAAAATGAAAATATCCATAAAGAGATGGAAAACATGAAAAAGAACCAAAAAGAAACTTTGGAGCTATGTAAGAATAATTGAAAAGAAAAATTCACTAGAGGGATTCAAAAGCAGATCTTGGCAGGCAGAGGAAAGAATCAGAGAGCTTGAAGAAAGGACAACTGAAAAAAGGAACAGGAAAAAAAAAGATTGAAGAAAGGTGAACACAGTCTAAGGGACCTTTGGACACAATTGAATGGATCAATACACACATGTGGGAGACCCAGAAGGAGGAGAGAGAGAGAGAGAAAGGGAAGG